TCCATCATTCTCTGACTGAGAGGGGCTTTTTAGGATTTCTCTCTTCTTCACCACATTGGAACGACTGGAAGGATGGAGAGATGATGGATGGAGAAGGGCTGATCCTCCACAGTTAGCATTAAATTCTAGAATTCCAAGTTCATGTGGCTTAACTGAGGACAGCAAGCCATTTTCAGGCCCATGGACATCTTCCCTTGCCTCCCAGGATGGAGCCCAACACCATCCTGCTATTCACCGCCGCACCCCCGCCCCGCCCTCACAACCACATCTCTTTATCATGAAGCCAGTACTAACCTGAAGCCAGTCCTAACCGAGAACTTGCTGTGAACCAGGCTCCGTTCCAGGCACCTTCCTCACTGAAGCCCTGCAACAGCCTACGAGGTAGGCAGGCCCTTTAATAGGACTCCAGGCCACAATTTCAGAGCTTAATACCCCCCGCCATGTTGTCTCTGTCCCCAGAATCTATGTCATTCCTGGGAGCTCAGAATGTGAGCTTCTCTGGAAATAGGGTTGTTGCAGATGTAATTAGTCAGGTCAGGATGAGGTCATTAGGATGGGCTCTAAGCCAATATGGTCCTTATAAGAGGAAAACACCACATGAGGACAGATACAGGGGAACGCCATGTAAGGACAGAGGCAGAGGTCACAGTGATGCGTCTACAAGCCAAGGAATGCCAGGGATTGCTGGCTGTCACCAGAAGTTGGAGATGCCTAGGACAGATGCTCCCTGTGAGGCTCAGAGGGAACCGTTCCTGCTGGCACCTTGGTCTTGGACTTCTGGCCTCCAGGCCTGGGAGAATGGGTTTCTGCTGCTCCTGGTGCCCAGTCTGTGGTGCTCTGTTGCAGCAGACCAGGAAACTGGCTCATGGAGTCACTCACCCTCTCAGCCATCTGCCCTGACCAGGCTGGCCCTCCCTTCCCGTGGACTGCACAGTGCCGAGTGGGGCGAGGGGCTGAGCAGGCAGAGGCATGCAGCAGGCACTCAGAAGGATCTGCTGGATGAGGGTGAAGGGTGCAGAGCGAGGCCTTAGCCTCAGGCACAGCCAGGTTCTGCGAGGGGCTGACTCATCGTCTGGGAATGGCCCCACGGCCTTCCAGACTCCGGGGCCCACCCAGACCCCGGGAAGCTTCCCGGGCAAGAAGGTCGTTCATTCCACCCAAATTTAGTGAAGATTACTATGCAGGCGCCTCACGCACTTTCTCGTTTAATCCTCACAATAGCCTGTGGGGAGGAGCAGCTCTCCTCATTTTACAGGTGGGGAAACTGAGGCCCAGAGAGAGACAAAGAAAGTTGCCCAGAGTTAAGGAATTGGTGAGGTTGCCTCCTAGTTCTGTCTTGTTCCAAAACCCATGTTCTTTTCTGTGTAAATCCTTGAAGAGTGTTCAGTCTAGAGGGGGAGACAGACAGGGAGACAGAGGACATCATTACACTGCAGAAAATACAGACTGTGGGCTTCGAGGGACCCTGGGGGCACTAATGACATAGACACATTCTTAGGTTAGGCCCTCAAAGCAGAGTCTGATGATTCAGGGGGGCTCTCGGGAGTGAGGGCAACTGACTGAGCAGGGGGAGAAGCTGGCCATAGGCCTGATGCCCCAGGAAGCTCTGCAGCCTGGCAGCCAGAACTGCTCACTCTCCAAGCATGGAGAGTCAGTCCAGCCCTAAGTCAGTCTGCCGTGGCTGTGGGCTGTGTCAGGGGGGCAGAGCTCCCAACGTTTCCGGGGCAAGGCTCCTGCTAGCCCTAGGCAACTCTCCAGAGAATGTCAGCAGCAACTGGGATGGGGTGCAGCAGCCCAGTACGGTCTGGGAGGGTGCCCGCCAGTGTCCACTGCACTAGGTGAAGCACAGAACTCAGAGCCTGGCACACTGTGAATGCGGAGTCAGTATTGTTTTCCTTTCTCCTCCCACGGTCCCTCCTTCCATCCTTCCCTTGATTAGCTACAAGTGCTTGGGCAAATCACTCAAATTCTCTAAGCATTGGTTTTTTCATCTGCAAAATGGGGATAATAATACCTGCTGTGTGGGATGTTGTGAGGCTCAGATCCCAAGACATCTGTGCACAGACAGTTGTGGGAGTCCTTGCTGCAGAGGCCAGTATCAACCAGGGGTGGAGATTGTTTTCTTGTGGCTCCAGGGCCACTCCTGTGCACTGCAGACCTCAGTGACAGCAATCACAGAACACTCTTCACCGAGGATCGAGGTTGAGAGAACATCTTTCACTCATTCATCTTTGCTTCTTTGTATGGAAACCTAAACAACTAAAGATTGTCAATTAGCACAATCTCACCTGAAAGGAATGTTTGCTGTAGGACAGATAACAGGATTTGGGGCAGATAACAAGATTTGGAAATTGGTCATCAGAGGGAAATGGGAATATTTCACCTGGGTCCATGGCAATAGAAAACTTCAGTGGCTTTGATCGTCCTCAAACAATTCACCCCCTGGGAGGTCAAGATCCTGGAGGTGTGAGGGTCTGTGGTCCTCTGAGATCAGAAGCAGGAAATAACGAACAAAAGATATGGGAAGCACTTTTAGCTCAAAATAAGGAAGAGCTTCATTACTCAAATGTAAATTCTTTCAGGCTAAATCACTGTCCTGGCCTCCCACTCCCACCACACTTCCTCCTCCAGTGCCTTGCAAATGGGTGTGTCAGTCAGGGGTTTTCAGAGAAACAGCACAGTAGGATGGATGGATGATGGATGGATGCATGGATGGATGGATGGATGGAAAGAAAGACAGATTGATGGAAGGAAGGAAGCATGGATGGATGGGTGGGTGGAAAGATGGGTGGGTGGAAAGACGGATGGATGGAAGGATGGATGCATGCATGCAAGGGGGGATGGATACACAGATGGATAGATGGATGTATGAATGATGAATGGATGGATAGATGGATGGATACGTAGATTTTAAGGAATTGGCTTGTGTGACCGTGGGGGCTGGCAAGCCTGAAATCTGTAGGGCAGGCCAGCAGACTGGAAACTCAAGAGAAAGTTGATGTTGTGGGTTTTTTTTTTTTTTTCTTAACAGCTCTTTTCTTTTTTTGCAGGGGAAGATTCACCCTAAGCTAACATCTGTTGCCCATCTTCCTCCTATTTCTTCCCTTTTTTCCCCCCACAAAGTCCCAGTACACAGTTGTGTACAGTTATAAATTCTTCTAGTTCTTCTATGTGAGCCACTACAACAGCAGGGCTAGTGACAAACGAGTGATGTAGTTCCACCCCGGGAACTGAACTCCGGCTGCAGAAGTGGAGCATGCCAAGAACTTAACCACTAGGCCATCAGGGCTGGCTCTTGATGCTGCAGTCTTGAGGCAGAATTTCTTCTCTGAGAAACCTTGGCATTAGCTCTTAAGGCCTTAAACTGATCGTATGAGACCCACTCATATTATGGAGGGTAATCTTAAAGTCAACTGATAGTAGATGTTAAAGAATGTTAATCTCATCTACAAGATACCTTCAGCCAACACCTAGACTAGTGTTTGATCAAATCACTGGGTGTGACGGTCGAGCCAGACGGACACATAAAATTAACATCACAGCTGGTTTAGGAGATAACTGTTGAACTCAAAAGAGGAGCTGGCAATTTGTGCTGCTCAGAGATGCCCCTGCCTCCTGGGAGTGGCAGTCGGCTGAGTGTGCAGTGAAATACAGCCATTGCCCAGTTAAACTGGAGGGGCCCAGAGATGTCTGGATAGAGACATGGCAGGGGGTCAAAGTTGTGACATATTCTCTGTCGGCTGCAGGGAGGGTGGACTGGGTGGACGCAGGAGGTAGGGTACCAAGGCAAGAGTCTCAGTGGTGGTCTAGGGGTGATGGAGGAGGGCCGGGACTCTCAGTTGTTATGAGGCAGGAGGATAGAAACAATGGAAGTTGATTGAACAACAACGAGCCACTGGAATTAACAGGATCTCATAACTCCTTAAATGAGTGAGGACTGAGGTGGGGACAACTTCCAGGTTGGAAGTTATGAGAAAGTGGTTTGGAGGATCAAGGTAGCGATTCAGAAGAAAAAATACATTTTTAGGGAGAGTAATGTTTTGGGTTTCTGACGTGATAAGTTTTAAATTTTTGTGAGACACTCAGGTGGAGACGTCTAGAAGGCACTTGGAAATGAGGGGCCAGGCCAGGAGTGTGCTGTGGGGGAGATTTGTGACGGGTTAGAATGTAGGACCCCCGGACGGCTTGTTTTGGGTCCATAGAAAGCTGTTCCATGTGGTAATAGAGATAGCAGCTTCAACAACAGACATGCAGCCTCCAGGGGGGCCAGAACCCCAGCTCAGCTGCGCCGGATGTGGACCCTCTGAAACTGTGTGAGACACAGGTGAGTGCTGACAGCACAAAGAGTTCAGTACCCGGTCACCCCACCGGGCCCATTCCAGCATGCCCTCAAGCACACCTCTGACAGAGAGCTCCTAACAGTGCCCTGAGGTCAGCTGGGCAGAAAATGGGTGGTTAACAGGCCTAGGGTCTCAGGCAGGGAGCCTCACTGCCTGGCTCAAATCCTGCTGCAGTGTGTGTGTCCATAAAGAGAGAGAGAGAGAGACACGGGGGGGAAGGGGGGTTGGAGAGAGAGAGAGAAAGAGAAGGGGGGGAGGAGGGGGGAGAGAGAGAGAGAGGTGGAGACACAAAGACAGAGACGGACAGAGAGAGAGAGCGAGAGAGAGCGAGAGAGAGCGAAAGAGCGCCCGCTTGGACCCGCGCCTGGGACATAATAAGCACTCTAAAAGCGTTTTATAAAACAACAAAAAACCCATCTCACACACGTGGAAACGGCGGCTAGGCGAGGCGAAGCAACTTGGCCGAAGCCCCAGCGCCTGAGTGCAGACCTGGGGTTGAAACCCGGATCCCCATCCTTTTCTCTGCCCTCCGGGAGCCCAGCCGCGAGGATGGGGGCGCAGTGACCGGACGCCGCGGCCGGAGGTCCTCGCCCCGCCCCGGCCCCTGGGGAGGTGGGGGCGGGAAGGGAGGAGCCGCGCGCATGTGCACAGCTGGCGCCCCCCGCCCCCCGCACACAGCTGGGACCTGGGCTGCGGCTGGGCGGGCGGGTGGAGTCCGGAGCCGGCCCGGGACGCGCCGGGCCCTCCGCGGTCTGTCGGTGCGCCCGAGCGTCTGTGCGCGCCGTCGGCCATGGCCGTGCGCCCCGCGGGCCCCGCGCTCCCCTGCCTGCTGGCGCTCGTGCTGTGCTGCGGCTGGGGGGCGCTGGCCTCGGTCGTCCCGAAGCCGGGAGCCGGCTGTCCGAGCCGCTGCCTGTGCTTCCGCACCACGGTGCGCTGCATGCATCTGCTGCTGGAGGCCGTGCCTGCCGTGGCGCCGCAGACCTCCATCCTGTGAGTGCGGCGGGGGCGCGGGGGGCTGTGGCTCAGGGGTCCAGGCGGGATCTGGGGCGCAGGGGGATCAGGGACGCGGGGATCCAGGGGCATCCGGGAGCGCGACGAGGGGTCCGGGGCCGCAGGAGGGTGATGGACTAGGGGACGTAGGGGAGGATCGCGGCGTCGGGGGCGGCCAGGGGCCCGCGGGCCTTTGTCCGCCGTGGTCCGGGCGCAGAAGGCGCCTTTGTTCGGAGCTCGGAATACCCCGCTGGACCGGGAAGTGGTCGGGAGCAGCCAGGGAAAGCCCCGCTCTCCTCCGGACGGCCCTCCCCGGGCCCCCGCGAGGCCCCGATCCCTCTTGTTCGCTCCCCTTTTCTCTCCCTCCGGCCGGTTTCCTCGCCGAGCGCGGGACTCCCCCTCCTCCGCTGAGCCCGGATCTCCCTCCTCCTCCTCCCCCGCCCCCTCCTCCCTTCCTCCTCCCGCTTCCAGTCTGCCCCTCCTCCCGAAGAGCGGTACTCTCTGTCCCCGCTCTGGGGGAACCTCTGTCGCGGACCTCCACTGACCCGCGGCAGCGCCCCCCGAAGTTCCCGCACCCGCCTGGGGCGCGGAGAGCCTCCTGCCCCGGGTGTCCCCGCCCCGCGGGGCGCACGGTTCTCTCGGGTTTTCCCCGCGCCGGGAGCAAGCCTGGAGGCGAGTTTCCGGGAGGGGCCCGGTGCGGGTCTCCGAGTTCTGGGGCAGCTCGTGGTGGCCCGGGTCAGGACGGAGCCGGGGTCCCAGCGGTTTCTGCCCAGGGCTCGTCCCTCCTTTGGTCTCTAACCTGGGCGCGCCGCGATCCGGGTATGCCAAACTTCGCAGATACTTCGCGCTCAAGTTGTTACAAAGTGTCGCGCACTCGCGCCGTCCCGCAGGCCCGGAAACCCGCACCCGCCTCCGCCCAGGTCCGTCTCCAAAGGCCGAATCCCGACCCTACAGGGCCCGAAACGCCGCCAGAGTTCGCTGCAGGCCTCGAGGTGTTCCGATGCAACTTTGATTAGAAATTTTCAAAATCTGTAAAGGCAGGCATGCATTTTAGGCGCCGCCTGTAATTCAGCGTCCTACAGCTGCCCTTCTGAATGCCAAAAATAGTTTCCACTTTTCTTGGCTGAGCCAAGTTCTTTTGGCACCGCCGAAAAGCCTGCAAAAACTGTAAAATTTTGAGTGAACTATTCAGGAAGTGGGCGGTCAGTATTCTTACTTTTAAAACAAAATATATGAACAGAGACCTCTCCTAGTGGTCGCTGAGTTTTCAGAAAGCTTCCTTCAGGGTCTTTGGCGGGAGTTAGTCTCAGCTGCAAAATTGTTCCTGGGAGAGAGATAAATAGGGCTTTCCTTCCAGAGTGTCTGAGCGGCCAGCCGAGGCGGGATCCAAGAGGGCATCACTCTAAAGAAGCGGACTTGAGGCGGGCAGAGGGAGGCTTTTCTGGATACGGATAATTTAATTCTTTAGTGAGTCAGTGGATAAAACTTGGACCATAAAGCGATTTTTCACATCTGTCCAGTGTCTAATTTTGTACTATGCTTTGCCCTCAAGTCTTAATTGCTTTTTAAAAAGAACAATATTTTAAAATATGAGTGTCGTGGAGCAAAGTGGGATCCTCCAGCCTGCTGCGCATGGTTAGAGTCTCCACAAAACCCAACGGAGCATTTGTAAAATTGGGGGGGGGGAGGCGGCACAGGAAGGGAAAGTGACGTCATCCTTAAAGGATTTCCTGGAGCGTTCATCTGCATACACTTATATCTCATGCTTTCGTGGGTTTCTGTAGTTTTCAAAAAGCTTTGAAGTGACCCCGCGTGGTCTCATCCACTCTGAGGCAGGCGGAACAGATGCTGAGCTGACCACATCCCTCAGAGAAGTAAGCCGATGATGGGCGAAGTGAACACACCCGTTTTACAGCTGTGCAGACACCCGCTGTGGGAGAGGAAGGTTCCCATCCCAGCGGCTGCACACACTGGGAGGAGGGCAGAACTGAGTCCCCGTGTGACCGGTTCCAGCTGGGGGACCATTCGACGGTCACCCCTGGAGGATCAGGACTGAGGGCACAAGTGGAGGCACAGTAATGATGAGGGAGTAGGTTTTTGGAAACAAAGAAGAGACAGTGTGATGGAGTCATCCTGGGGGGAGCGGGAAATGATGGAAGAACACCTGGTGTGGGGACACCCTGTTGATGTGGTCTCTGGGGTCCAGTCTGGTGGGGTCTTGGGCAGGGTTGCATGGTAGGATGCAGTCACAAATTGCCTGAGTTACAAATTCCACTCAGGCAGAAATATTTAATTTTCCCTTTCAGCTTTTCTCCCAGGTATATGATATTTTTTCCATTTTTAAAAAATTATTTGGCAGAAATTGAGGCCATAGGAGAAATGAAGATAAATAAAGAACAGGTCCCCAAAGTTAATTGGGCCATCCAGCCACCACATCATCCCTTTGCTTTCAAGCCCTCCCAGACTGAATCAGAATCACTGGAAACTGTCTGACTTTTCTCCTGCTTGCAGTGCCCAGCAGTGTGGTCGAGCCGGGCCTGGTACTGCATTGTTTTGATCGTGGTTGGGGCTTCAGAAAGTAACGTCTGAGACCACCTTGTGATTCAGGTTTGGTTTGACCCTTGAGCTCACGCCGGCTGGGAAGTGCAAAGTGGTGTTCTCGAGCAGCCAGTGCCCTGTGTCTGGAGTCCTCGGCTCTGTCTGGTCTGGCAGGTCTGCTGCTCTGCAGCCTTTGGAAAAACCCCCTCACCAGCCAGTATAGTATTCAGTTCAGCTCATAAGTTTTTGTAGAAATGCTTGTTTAAGTTTTGAACATTATACTCTTTTCAGTGCAACAATGGAAATCTGTCACCATGATAATTAAAAGGCTAGTATTAAAAGATGAAGTGTGACATGTTTACTTTGCCCCCTTCCTGTCCTCCTCTCAGCCCCAGCGTTTTGGCCACAGGCCAGGGCAGGGGACGGGGGTGAGGGGGGCTCTGGCCTGTGGGCCCTTCCCCTCCACACCCCCTCCTCTCTGACACCTTCTCCCTGTAGCCTCCAGTGTGAGGTCCTGGGAATCAGCTCTTCATAACTGACATGTGTCTTGCAGTACAGGCCACTCCGAAGCCCCGGAGTTAACCCTGGAGTGCCGTCCATGTGACAGGAAACCCCGGCTCCGGAGGGAGTCTGGGCATGTGGCCTGGGGGGACCCGGGAAGGCAATGCTGCAGAGAGACCGTGGGCTGGCCCCAGAGCAGGCAGGGGGCTAGTGAGAGTGTCCTCCTCCAGGGCACGCTTGGTCGAGTCCTCCGCTGTGGACATTGTCCTCCTGCCAGACGGCTGTTCCCCCACTCCTCGACTTTGTGATAGCCACTCTGTGTCTGGGTCTGTGCCATGTTTCGGTTCCTGCCTCAGGGAGTACCCGGTCCAGTGGGGGTGTTGGAGAGTGAGGGCTGCGATGCAGTGATGAGAATGAGCATCCCGTGCACCCGGCTGCTTTAGGCACTGTGCACCTCTGGTGGTCTAGGTGAGTGGACGCCTGTCGTCCGGCCCATGTCCACATGGGGAGAAGGCCCCAGAGTTGCCACTTCGTGGGTCGGGTCGCCACCTTCCTGCAGGCCCCCCACGGGCCTCTCTGGGATCGTGACGCATAGGTGGAGAGTCTTCAGGCCATTTCACTGTTTCCCTTGGTCCCCTGGAGACTAGCCCCCTGAATCACAGCTTCTCTGTTCACCAGCCTCCATTGGAGCTCTCCAGCCTTGGCTGTCAGGAAAATCTAATTTCCCATTGCACAGAGATGAGGTCTCCTTGTTAAAGGTGGCTTGAGGTAGAACCGTGTTCCCCAGGCTGGATGGGGTGGGCAGCGGAGGGCAGCTGTGTGCTGGGAGGCTGGCTCTCTCTTGGCACTTTTCCCACTCTCCATCTGGCTCACAGGAAGCCCCCTCCCTCCTGACTGTGCCCTCTGGGGACACCCTCAGCTCCTGCAGAGGCCGGCCTCTCCTGGGGCAGGAGATTTACGAGGTTAGTGGATGTGAAGGCAGCATCCTGGCACCTCCGGGCTCTGCAGGGCACTCGTGCATGCCGTGCCAGGGACAGCAGGCTTTAAGTTGGAGCCTTTGGCTTACGTAAAACAGACTACTACTTTATTTTTAAATTCCCTGTTAGGGTGAAATCTTTATTGTTGTAGCTCAAATGCGTTTGAAAAGTACCATAGGAATATTTTTTAAATATTTAGGTATTGGTAATTTATCTTTCCAAAATGGTGATGGACCAAATATTTCCTCCCGCTATCAACGGCTCCTTGGGGTCCCAGGCCTATGGGGAGGCTGTCACTGAGCTCTGAGAGCACCCCGTGTGCTGTGTCCGGAGGAGGAAACTCGTCAGTGTCCTGGACAAGCTCCGAGAGAGCCTGTCTCGTGGATAGTGGATACCCCTTGGGGTGACGTGCTTGGTTATAACCACAACGTCACCATTTGAAAGCGTGAACCTGTGCTTGACAGCTGGGCCTGGAAAGCGCTCCTCCTGTTAGAAACTTCAGGTGTGGCGAAACCCCTCCCCTCCTTTGTGTTTTGGTGAGTCGAGGAAATAGTTGTAACAAGCAAGCACAGAGTCCCAGTGTCTCTACATCCAGAGGCGTCTCCAACTTCGAACGTGGCTTCACCCAGGGTCCAGATGCTGCCATCAGGGCCTGGTTTTGATGCCTCTCTTGGCTCCTTCCTCTGCTCAGTCTGTGACTCAGTTTCTCCACACAATGATGACTGACAGCCGTTGGCGTCCCTTCTGAGGGTGCTCAGTGCGGCGGAAAGAGAGGGAGTACCTCTTTCTTGGTGCACAAGCACAGGTTCTGGGAACTGTCTGAAGGGAGCGATTGCCTGTTCTCAATCACATCCCCGAGGGATGGGAGGTCTTGCCCCCAGGCCTGGGCCCGGCCTGCTCCTGGAGCGCAGGATGGAACCTGCTGTGCCCTGCCCGGCTTGGGGGCTGGAGGCAGGCGCCCTCACTGCCCAGAGGAAGAAACAG